CCCCAAAACCCCAAAACCCCAAAACCCCAAAACCCCAAAATTATGGTGTAAGGTTGAACCTACAAATTTTAGTTTGTGTAAGCTATTTTTAAGTCATAGTTAATATTCTCAATCTACCTCCTCATGAATACATTAACAGGGGACCTACTAGGAGCTCTGCGAGAACCTAGTCTTCGAGGATTTCTTCTGAATGAAACAAGAGCAGTGTGCATTCTGTCTAAGAACTCTGGGAATGTGAACACTTTTATAACTCTATTGTGAGGAATGTCATCCCTGATCACTTTAATAGTTCTGCTTGCGAAATTAATATTTGTATCAACTGTTTTTCTTAGCTCAGGAGACTCAAAGGTGACTCTAAGGTAGTCTCCCTCACAAGTATTATTTTTTGTATCGAAGCCTAAATTATTCATCTTATCGACTAAAACAAGTGCTTCTTTTAAATCAGAATCATTTTCAATGATTGTACGGTTATCATCACAAGATTTCTCCTCATCGGTGGAGTTAACTTGCTCGTCTATCTTCTTGGCGATCAGCTTTTTAATTGGGTCTGAGTAGACTAGTGGGTTAATTTTAGCATAAGAAGACCTCTCTTCTGGCTTTCTATGTCTCCTATTATACACATTATCAAAGGCAGATGTGGCTATTAATGAAGCTCTGTTGTTGAAGTCGTTTATGATCTGCACGAGTACATCGACACTGAGCCCTAAGCTCCTTGCTTCAGAGATTGGAATTTGTAGTTTGGGTTCTGGATCTTCAGCAATTTTACGTTTTAATAAAGATACCTCCTTTTTGAGATTGCCGAGGTCAAACTTTCTCTTAGATCTTCTACGTGGCTGGACACTCACTGATCTCAGATGGAGATCTTTAACAGATTCAGGGATATTTATAGGAGCAGGCTTAGCTTGAGGAAGTACAGATCTTCCTCTATTCCGATCTTTCTGATCAATATACTTAGGATGGATAGGCTTCATTGCAGTCTGAGGAGGTATTTCATGCTCTTGTTTTATAGCAGGAGGATATTGTAGTTGCTGCTTTCTCCTTCTCAATTCTGCTCTGAATTCTTTCTCCTGTTCTTTAGCATGATCTATATGCTCTAGTCTGTAAAGCAAGGAGTCTTCCCACTTATCCATGTCCACTCGGGGTGGGATTACGAAGGCATTCCTCTTATTTCTTCAATCTCTCTGAAATTGTACTGAACCAGGTGTCGAAAGAAACCATAATGGAAATTTGTTCCTCATTTGGCTCTTTGATGTTTATTATTGGTGACTAAAAAGTGATAAGCAATGGATCTTACCAAAAACTCTTCTGTCTGAGAAAATAGTGTATTTAAAGCAAATTCTAACGTCTGCCTTCGTCCCTCAAATTGGATGTTGTCATTAAGAATCCTCTGAAGGTTAGTTACGTTGTTTCTGTATCTGATTCCCATCCTTCGGATCCAGTATTTAAAGTTGCGGTGACTAAGAAGTTCTGCCAGACTCTCAGGACTTACTGTCTCCTTTTCTACTCTTTTTAAATCCCTCTTTTTCATTGGAATCTATATTAGTGTGTGAATATATGTTGGAAGGGGTTTCTAAATATTAGAACTGCGGCATTATTTCAGTAGTGAAAATTTAAAATTCATCCCCTGAAAAATAACTTCTGAACTATATCCCTACTTTCCTAGGCTGCAGGAGATAGAGGGATGGGTATTGCATGTTGAAGACTTATGGCAAGAAATACTCATTTAATATGCCAGGTTTTAGATATCTACTAGCTGTGCATAAAGTATTTACTCGCTTAGACCATTCTTCCATTTTATTTACTTAATATCATCTTATTTTCAAACTTATATATGCTTTTGGGGTTTTGGGGTTTTGGGGTTTTGGGGTTTTGGGG